GGCGGGGCATGCCTCGTCAGCAGCGGGAGCAAGAAGACAGTGAAGGTCAGCTGGGGTGGCAGGGGCTTTGGAGTGCAGGATGGTGAGGGTGGCTAGGGCTGGCCTCCAGGGGTGGCTTCAGCTTTGCGCTGCACTGCAACTTGGGCTTCTTGCAACCCTGTGCCAAGAAGCCCCTGAGCCGCAGCATGGCAAGCAGCTCCAGAGCCGTGCAGTTCTGGGGCTGCTTGCTGCCGTGCAAGGCAGAGTGCAGGGCAGCCAAAAAGGGCAAAGATGGTGGGGAACAGGCAGTTGGGGGGAGTTGAAGGGGAGGTAGTCCCTTACCTTACTGAGGCTCTGGGCTGGGAGGGAGAAGCTGGGAATGGCTTGGATCGGGGTGGGTCCTTGCCTAACGACCCACGCATCGTAGGGTTACGATGGCAACCGGGACTGCCCGGGATTGCCATTGCTAAGCAATGCTGTCACATGACATCGCACTTTATGACTGCATCACTTAGCGACAGAAATTCCGGTCCCAATTGTGATTGTAAGTCAAGGACTACCTGTAGTATCTACATTTACACTTGGTTGTAACACAAGGGGGTGGCCCACAGAAATATTTCACCTCTCTGTCTTCTCATCAGGCTGGGCTATGAGGATCGCCCCTTTTCAAAGCGTTTAAAGAAGATCAAAGAGTTTTTGGAACAGGGTACTGTGTCCAGATCAGACGTGTTACTAGAATTAGGTAAGTGCATTCCTAAATAAAGGAATAACTCCCCCTTCGCCATTTTGCAAGCAGAAAGGCTGTAGTCTCTTTAATAAAAATAACTTAGATATGACATCTTCAGTCAGAAGCATGGTGAGCTAATGAACAAAAGCTTAATTCCTGATCAGAATAAAATGACCATCGCTGCAACATTTATATGCCTGTGGGAAAGAGGAGCTAGGATGAAAACAGGCAGGAAGCTTGCAGCTTTATGCTATATTTATTTGGCCCATTAAGCTCCATTGTAAGTTCCTTGTGATTAGGGACGTAAGTTCTGCATTTAGAGGAGGTATATCTCCAGTTATCCGATGTTGGGGGCCAGTAATAACATTTGTGTAATGTTGGCATAACGTGCTTGTAGATTTCTCCAAAGCTTTTGATTGTATTTATTTGATGTTGTGTTGATTTGACCTTGGTGTAGAAGTTTTTAACAGGCCCCGTTCCTACTGTTTGGCTTTTTCTTTACCCCACCTGTGAAAGTGGAGACCTGTGCCTTGTACCCAGGACAGGCAGTTGTGTAGTTCTTGTTTGGCATTAATATTGCTGCTGCTGAGGGAAGGGCACGGAGGGCCAAGCCCAGAAGTCGTTGCTGCTGCACTTCCATTCTTTCAGTAGCCTTGGAGGACTTGTTATTCTAGATCATTCCTTGGAATGTGAACAAGACTCAGTGGGCATTGGCACGTATAACTCTTTTTTATACGTCTTCTGGTCACTTTGCCTTCACTTGTGGCAGAAAACTAGGTGCATCTGTTGTCATCTGCTAAAGGTAATTGAATTTTTTGATTCGATGCAGGAAATGGCATTGCAGCTCTGCATTCTGTCCCCACGGCGATCTACTCATTCCTGCGCTGCATGGACTCTCACCCCGATATCCCCGAGGGCTTCAACTGTCTGCAACGGACTATTATCTACTGCATCTTACTGGGTGGGGACACAGACACGATTGCAACCATGGCAGGAGCCATTGCAGGGGCGTTTTATGGGGAAGAGCAGGTGCCCCAAAGTTGGAAACATAGCTGCGAAGCCTTTGAGGAAACAGAGAAGCTGGCTGATGGCTTGTACGAACTCTACCACCAGCAGGCTTGAGGCATGAATGAGAATTTGGCACTCAGTCATCAGATCTGTATTTTTGCATCGTGTTCCAGAGGAGGTGAATCATGTCTACAATAGGGGAGTCTGTCTTCCCCCAAAGAATGTCTAGGCCATAGTGAATGGCTGCCTGCGAAAGGATTCTGTTGAAGTAACACACTCAAAAGTGCCAATTCTTTTCAGCTGTATAGGCACTGTTGACCTTTCCTTTGATCTTTGCTGTTTTTTTCCTGATTTTGAAATTTTTGTAATTATGTCTTGGTTAGAGTCTAAATTCTCCCTTAGTTCATTATACTGGGGTTCTCTGTACACCATATGGGCTTCAGGACAGTTTGCCAAGCAGGTCCTCTCCCCAAAGGAATTGAAATGGGACTATGTTTGGACATAGTCAAAGGACAAGTATATAAATGTTACCATTTAACCAACTATTAGATTGGGAATTCATCAGGCAGAACTGCACAAACTGCTTCACATGGAACATGTGTCTTTAATACCAGAAATGTGAGCTGGCATTAATAAATTTAGAACTTTTTAAAAAACCAAGGTGGCTGCACTGTACATCAAAGGACTGGATTGTATGATGTTGTTATTTCTGTGTTCCCTTATGCATCAAAGAAAATAGGCGCTACTGTGAGACTAGGCTGAAATTGACAGTTGTGGCTCTAACATAAAAATGAACCAAGCACGTATGCAGAGAGGACAAAGCCAGAAATCTTGTCAAAAGAGCCCTCAGAAAACAGATGAGACAGAACCATGAGCCCAAGGATATGCAAAAGAAGTGCCTTCAGAAAATGGACGAAGAGTTAGGTGCAGAATCCAAGGAACCGTAATCCTACCAACAGCTGCCAAATTTACAAATCAATGAAACAAAGGCTGTTGAGAATGAAAAAGGGTCCGGGGGGCACACCAGCTCTTTGAGTCGTTCTGAGTCCGGACTTGGTGGCTTCTGTTCCTCTAGCTCAGTGTTTCTCAACCTCAGCAACTTTAAAATGTGTGGACTTCAACTTCATGCTGGCTGGGGAATTCTGGGAGTTGAAGTCCACACATCTTAGCTGATGAGGTTGAGAAACACTGCTCTAGCTAGTGCTTGGCCAGCTTAGCTAAGTAGAATTTGGGTAAGGGGGTGGTGAGTGAGAATGAGTGAGTGTGGGAGCAGCTGTATACTTTAAATCAGTGAAGCTTTATTATGGCTTTAAATTCAGCAGGTATCCCAATAGAACTTTGATTGCCACGGTGCTCAGTTGAAGGGTTTGTGAGGGAACTGTCCCACTGTCAACCATACAGTTTTGTATGTACCATCAGCACCTACCTAGGCCACCAAGGTAGGAACTTAAGGGGGGCTGTGGAATCCATGTGCCCTGACTGGCTACATGAGTAGAGTGAGTGACTATAAGTTGAGCCAGGGTATTTTGTAACACTATGCCCAACCAGGCCACCTTTGATAGCACCAGGCGTATGGGATGGTGTTGGCAAGAGAGGTATTAAACCCATCTCTGCAAACCTCAGTTGATACCAAGGAATTTGTGTGGATCAAAGTGCATTGGAAGCTTTGATCGTGGAAGCCAGAAAAGGCGTGCTGGGTTGGTCAGGTACACATTTTTCACTGCACAGGTGTGCTTGGGGCTGCCTCTAGCGCCAGTTTGGTTAGGATGTAGAGGCTGTTAATCAGGCTTAATGCATTTTGGCAGCTGAAAAATGAAAGTATAATTAGCAATCAGTCATATTACTTGAGGTTAATGTTATACAGGGCAATCAAATTAATAAGCAGTTAACAAACTATGGGGAATTTAGCAAAAATATTTGAGGCCAATGGTATACGAGGCAATCAAATGAGTAACAGTTAATTGTGGGGAGTTTAGTACAGTCATTTCAATTAGGAAAGGTGAAGGAGTTCAAGGGGAGGGGTTGAGAAGTTATTTTCTTTACGCAGGGTTCAGTTACAGAAGAAAGAACAAAAACTCCCTTGCCACAAAGGAAGCAAACCTTATTGCTACAGTTGAAACGGATAGATGCGTACACAATTTAGCATTCATACACACACGCTATGCTAAATTGGACCATTAATCCAGAGGCAACTTAGAACCAAAACAAAGTTCTGAATAAACTACTGGACTGAAGACGGAAAGAGGAAAACAAACCACCTTTTCTTTGTGGCTCTGGAGTGCACTCGCGCAGTTTTGGTCCTCCAAGATTGGGGTTAGATGGATCCTCCAACAGTTGAGGGGAAAGGAAGATCGGGGTTCCTCTCAGTAGCTGCTTGTGGGTTCTCTTTGGCCTCCTGAAGCTGTGGTTCTGGAGATGGGACCTAGACCAGTTCAAAGGATGGACATTGGCATAGTGCTTCCCTGTCTGATCTGAACCCAGCTGATCAGATGTAATGGGCTGCGAGAATAACCTTGAGGAAGAGCTGCAGCCAAGGCAATGGTCAATGAAGAGAAAACTCAGCCCAAAGCAGGAATGGAAATTGAGAAAACTTCTCAGAAGGGACCCTCCCTAGTTCTCTTTAAAGGCGGGGAGGGGAGATGCACATCCAGAGTTGCAGAATTCTGTTATTGTAACCCGATAATAAGAGAGCCAGTTTGGTGTCGTGGTGAAGGCACCAGGCTAGAAACCAGGAGACTCTGAGTTCTAGTCCTGCCTTGGGCACAAAGCTAGCTGGGTGACCTTGGGCCAGTCCCTCTCTCTCAGCCCTTGGAAGAAGGCAATGGCAAACCAATTCTGAAATCTTGCCAAGAAAAGTATAGGGACTTGTCCAGGTCGTCACCAGGAGTTAGGACTGACTCAAAGGCACCAAAACAAAAGAAAACAAGAAAACAAAAACCCCTATAATAAAAGTAGTTCTGGTATTCATGACTTTGGTGTTCAAGTCTGGTATACCTTGAAAGGCTGACATCATGTGATGGAATGGAATTATGAAGGCCGAGCTCAGGGATACAAACATTTTCTTAGCTCGCCAGAACCGCGTGGGAGGATCAAGCGGACGAGACTGGCCCCTCCCTGAGGAATTTACACTGTTGTGGCTGCGGGGGGTTGGGAGCTCGGGGGGTAGTTGGGGG